TCTTAAACTTGCCTTTTTCTTTCTAATCTACACCAAATATTTATTTGTTCTCAACAACTCTCACTTTAAACCAATATCAGCAACCTCAAATGCACTCTTCTTGTCCACAGTGCTGGGGCATTGATTTGGTAGTTTGTGTGTGTGTGTTGTGTGTGTGTGTGTGTGTGTGTGTGTGTGTGTGTGTGTGTGTGTGTGTGTGTGCGCATTCTAATGTGATCATGACATTATGGTTGACTTTACAGATCACATGCACCTCACATTTGCAAGAAAGTATTCTTTAATCAAGTGTGTGTGAGTGAATGTTTATGTGCATAGTAGTGTAAAAGTAGGTAAAACAACGTAAAGATTACATTTTTTATCTTTAATTGATTCCTTTAGTGAGGCAACTCAATAGTGATAAGGAATGATGATGAGGAATTAGTGATTCTCTTGATAAATAATGACTAAGGGAGTGAGTAGGCCTTACACCAACAGATAAAGGATAACAATGTGCTCATATTAAGCTACATTATTATTATAATTTACAATATATTATCATTAGGATGAATCATTCCTTCTACTAGTGTTCATTTCAGTGACCAGGATGGATAGCTGTTTAAATAAGTACCTGATATTATGCAATATACTGTATGCCATAACCTATATCTATGCATGCAATACATAATTAAACATGTGAACTTTAATACAGACATTCCTGGTGTAAAAGAGCGCACTTTGGTTGCCATCAAGCCAGATGGGGTTCAGAGGCGTCTGATTGGTCAGATCATTAAACGCTTTGAGCAGCGAGGGTTCCGCTTGGTAGGTCTGAAGATGGTGCAGGTGAGTGTTTGCTTTTGCTGTGTTTGATGTGTACACACATGGTGAGTCTGAATTACACAAAGTGTTGTCAGAGGTGGGTAGTTGAACACTACATTTACTTCATTACTTTGATTTGGATAACTTTTTGAATAAATTGTTCATGTACATGTGTGCATTTTCTTTTAATTGGAGATTTTTTTTTAACCCTAACCATAACACATTTGTAAAGACAAAAATGTACTTTTAAAGAAAAACAACATTAATGACATTTTATCAAGGATTATAAATCGACAATAGAAAGCATGTAATCACTTTGGTCATAAGCATCATCCACATCGATCTCTCTAGTCTTATCACTTGAGGTAATGGTCAATCGTCATTTCATGAACATAAGCCACATCATCGTTTTTGATTAGAGTTATCACTGTTCACTCTTGCATCAGTGCTGAAATCAAACCTGCTGAAATCACAAACATTTCTACATCATTTCGGTGAAATATATTTGTTTTCTTAAAGCAGAGATATAAATTTATATCAAGGGCAGAAAACCGCAATTTTGGTCGAAACCTGATTTTATATCGTTTCATCATTCCAGTTTTTCTTTGCCACTGTCCTCTCTGGCTTGCTCATTAGGGATATAGATCTACTGTATGTTCAGATTTCAGTAAAGCTGCTTCGTGACCATGTTATTTGTAGCTGGGGGAATGCTTGCAAAATTTGAAAAGCTAGCCCTAAGTCTGCTGCTTTAGTTGAGGTTTCATTTGTGGATTCCTTTTCACATTTTTTCCATTATTTGGCTTTGATTCATTTGTAATTGGGATCTGAGATACGCTTCAGTGGATTTTGGTTGAAAAATTAAGCCTGAACGTGAGATAAATTTCTGGAGTACTTGAGGTTTTTGGCTAGTCTACCCACCTCTGGCTAATGGTAATGAAAAGCAGACTGGTTTTATACGAAAACAGTTTCTTTGTATAATATTATGAGATGTTATTGAAATACATTGAGTAATGATTTATTATTATATGCATGTTTTAGGTATCTGAAGAATTACTGGCCCAGCATTATGTGTCTCTTCGTAAGAAACCATTCTACCCCAGTGTACTGCAGTATATGACCTCAGGGCCTGTGGTGGCAATGGTGAGGATCTAGAACTAAAACTGAAAACTAGGCAACAAAGCAACTCCAGACATAACATCTAACTGCTGTCTTCCTACATCGTTTTAACTTGAGATAATAAGATAATGTGTCAGTAATTTTCATCTAGACTGCTGTCTCATCACACAGTCTACCCAACATAAGGAAGTGGTTGTGAAACAGTAGACCTAGACCTGTTGCAGATTCTGAAATGTGAAATTTGTATAAAGGGCTAAACTTTTCCTTATGAGCCAGTGTCTTAAAGGGACCAGTGACATTCAAACCAGAACCCAGATAGCACACACAGTTTCAACTTGTTTGCTAATTGAGAAGATGTCAGTAAAACATTTTTTTGATCATCTGCTACTTTCAGCCTTCCTCTATCATAATGTGTGAATTAAACCATTTAGTGTTGCAAGAAGGCATTGCCTCTTGGTGCTGATTTATTTATTTAACTTCCACAATTTCACCATGCATGCAGATGCACGCATGCAGATTTGCACTAAGAGCATAAATAAATGCCTTCTTTTTGATGTCTGAAGCTAAAACATCACTGAAATAAGTCTAAGATAACTCCTAGGACCTGATGTGAGCTGCAGGTATTTTCATTGTATTAACACTTTTATCATGGTTTAGAAATAATTCTGAAAAACCTGATCATTAAAGGTTCCATACAGTTGGAAAGAAGACACCAACAAGAAACTACAAAGGGCAGTCCTTTATATGAATGGCAAGAACTCCCAGAAAATGACACTTTCAAGCCCTTCTCCAATTACAACCGTGCACTGGGTGGACAGTGGTTGCATTTCAGTGTAACACTACTGCAATGCACTGATGAAAGTGAAATGCTAAGGGAATTACGTTCACTTTTGATGTGAAGTCAGCACTAAATTTATAATATATGAATGTATATTTATTAAAGCAATGGCTAAATGGCTTGATACGTTGCTGAACTCTGTTCTCCAGATGTATATATTTCTAATTGCTATTCAAGCCTCACTTTTCAATTTTACCAGTTAACAACCACAAACAAGTTCACTAAATTCAATATGGTGGTCCATATTGGTCATTCATTGGTTCTTCAGTAACCACTTTACCCTGGTCCAGTTCTCAGTGAATCTGAAGCCCATCCTGGGAACACTGGTTGAGATGCAGTAATACACCCTGTAAGGGATGCCAGTCCATCACAGGGCACCATGCACACACATTCATACCTAGGGGCAATTTAACTAGCCCATCCATCTACCAGAAAGTTTTTTGGCAGTGGGTGGAAACCAGAGAACCTGGAGGAAACTTGAACATGCACAGACACTCACCTAACCTCAGGATCGAACCAGGTCCACTGGAGCTGTGAGGCGTCAGCGCAACCCACTGCACCATATTGGTCATTATGGGTTTTTTATCACTCACTGATTATATGAATATTGGTTAATGCAGATGTTGATTATTTAGCATATCTATTTTATTATTAAAAAACATCAGTTAATACAAGTGTTAGTTATTTTATTAAAGGTGTGTTAGTGCTGAAGTTCTATACATAACTAATGTGTTAAATAATGTCAGTTAAGGGAACTGTAATGCAAAGTGTTACAAAAGCAGGCAACATGGACTTCCAATATCGAACCAATCAGGACAAAGAGGTGTCTCTATTTGCCTGTCAGTCATGTTTATGTTTCATGTTGCCTGTCAAATCATAAAGTATTCAGGTGTACTAGCTTAGGCAGTGCATGCGTTTTGGGCACGTGGCTTTGAAGGCAACACAGAAGGGAAGCTAGCTTCAACTAACTTCTGCCAATATTACTGATTATTTTACTGACTACTGACTAACATCGCTTCAGTGAAATGGAGCGCTTCATTCCAACATGCCTCTTCTCATTCAGAGCAAGCTTCAAATTAAATAAAGAAATAAAGTTTGTTGGTATTAAGGTAAACATTCTATTGACTTTATGACCATCTTTTATAGGTGTGGGAGGGCCACAATGTAATAAAGTCAACACGTATGCTCGTGGGAGACACAAACCCAGCTGAAGCTGCACCTGGAACTCTGAGAGGAGACTTTAGCGTTCATGTTAGCAGGTAGACATACACACTCAGTCACATGCACCAGGTCTCACTGACAGCTGATAGTAACTAAACATTTGCAAGATTTGTTTTTTTCTTCAAAATCAGATGTTAATGCATTTTACTTAGGACTTACTTTGGGTCTGTGTTTAGTGCACAGGTGCCTAATGAGGGGTTCCTTCTGTTTTGTGTTAATGTTTCAGGAACGTTGTGCATGCCTCTGACTCGCCTGAAGTGGCACAAAAAGAGATCTCGCTTTGGTTTCAGCGCTCCGAGTTGATTGACTGGGTGTGTTGTGACCATGGCAACATCTACCATCCATGAGTGTGTGCTTGTGAATGTGTTAGTTATATCTCTTAATACTTTTAGAGAAAATTATTTTTGAAAGATTTTAACTCTATAACTGCTGCAATATATATTTTAATCATGTTCCAGAAATTTTGGTCATATATTTCCTGAATAGTTTACCAAATAAATAAACTCTATTTCAAATTCACAGTATTATAAAAGAATGTTTAAAGTTTGAAGCCAAAGCATCTGATGTTTCTTAATGAATCTGTAAATTTTGCACATCAGCAACACTGTACAAGTGATCTTACAAAACAATTGTACATTACTGTAATACTGTAATACTGTAATTACTGTAATGATTATGCCTTTGTAATAAATATTTAATACTCAATATTATTATATTTGGTTCAATTATCCATTACATGAAAATCCCGAATCTGAAATAAAACAAACAAAATTGTAAAGATTGTTGGAAATCAGCCACCACTGCACAGTGGACTGTGTAAAATGAGCTGGCAATAAATTAATGGTCAAATGAGTTTCCAGCTTTGCTATTGCATATGCAGTGCCCTTCAGAATTATTGACACCCTTCATGAAAATTACATTTTATGGCATTTGGCAGATGCCCTTATCCAGAGCGACTTACATTCATCTCATTTATAAAACTGAGCAGCCTAGGGTTTAGGGCCTTGCTCAAAGGCCCAGCAGTGGCAGCTTGGCATTGCTGAGATTTGAACTCACGACCTTTCGATCAGAAGTCTGACATCTTAGCCACTGAGCAAATTAGTAGATATTTTGAATTTGAGCATACAGAGACATTGCAAAACACAGGGGCTTGAGAGCAAATGGAAAATAATATAAGCTATGCAAGAATGATCATTTGTTTCTATTTATTTAAAAATTCTTTTGGGGTGTCAATACTTTCCTCTGGGTTTCTTCTGGGTCCTCAGTTTTCCTCCCACAGTCCAAAATCATGCAGGTAGATAGATTGGCTATGCTAAATTACCTCTAGGTGTGAATGAGTGTATGAATGTATGTGCATTGTGCCCTGCGATGGACTAGAGACCCATCTGGGGTTGAATTCTCTCACCGTGCACTCAATGTTGTCATAATAGACTCCAGATTCACCGCGACCCTGACCAGGATAAAGCGGGTACTGAAGATGAATGAATGAATGAATGAATGTTTATTTTATAAAATTATTGTAGTTAATTTTTATGATGAGTGCAAAGATGCAAAAGCAATGTGTCTTGAAATTGGCACTAGAGCTATGACTTTAATATCATTAACAAGTGACAGAACCACCGATCAGCACCAGTAAACCTCACACAGAAATCATTACAACATTACTAGGCAGTTTTATGCAGATAAAATCATAATTAGAGCAACACTCTAATGAAGGTGGCATAGTGGCACATATGGCAGCACGTTGTCCCCGTATGCACGAGGGTTTCTTCCCGTCTTCCAATAACATGCTGCTAGGTGGACTGGCTACTCTAAACTGCCCCTAAGTGTGAACGTGTGTGTGTGTGTGTGTGTGTGTGTGTGTGTGTGTGTGTGTGTGTCTGTCTTATTCCTGCCTTATGCTCATTGCTCCCAGGATAGGTTCTGGATCCACAATGACACTGCCCAGGATAAAATGGTTAGTGAAAATGAATTACTGAACTTAAAATCAATGGATGAATTTAAAGTCAGCTAGCGCTTTAGCTTCAGTTAAGCTAAAGCTGTAAAAATTGGACAACATAGTCTCAGATTTTTGATGATATAGTTAAACAACCATTCCAAAGCCATTTTTAAATAAAAGGAAAACGTGCACCAAGTCAAAATAACCATAGAGTCATTTTTACAGTCAAGAACATCCTTTTATTCAATCAGTTAAAGGTGCTGCTCTTTTCAAACTGTTTTTCTTATTATGGAAAAGAAATTGTAATTAACACATGCATTTCACCATGAGCTCTGGGGGGCATGTCTATAAAGAGGGCAATAGCTTTTTAGGGTTAGTGAAGAAGCTACGGGCCAGGGCAAAGGCTGCTGGGAAATCAATCTACTCTAAGCTTATCACTTATCCCAACACCCTACACACTCTATCAAAAAACACAACCCCAAAAGGAAATAGAAAAAAAAAAAAGTTTAAAAGACGGATGGTCAGCGCCAGGAAGGGACAAGGCCCTGGGAGAGTTCTGTCCACAACATTATGGCTTTTTTTCTCTTTTAGTCTCGTCTCTTGTAATCATGGCTGATACTGTTGCTGGCTTCAGGTACTTACGTAAAGTTTGCATATTTATTTGGGACAACAATCAGGCTGTGATTTGTAGGCCTGAGATTATTCTTTTGCTGGTGCATTAATGATTTTCAAGGCATCTTAATTATCACTACAGTTCAGGTTTGACGGCATGCAGCTTGTCAGTTTGGTCTGAGGGGCTTGGCTCATAATTGCAGATTAAACTGGAATTTCGGTTTAATCTTTTTTTTTTTTTAAATCTCTGAATCTGTCTCTCATCCATTGCTGAACCCATTCCGTAATAAGGTGCTTAGTAATTTCAGGTCATTTTTCTTCCAAGTGTTTAAATAGCTGGTCTCGTATAACCACTGCAAAGGTGCATCATCTATAAAAATTCTCAGTGTGGCATTGGTGCCACCTAAATGCCACCTAAATACGCAATATTGACAAAAAAAGATAAAAAATAAATTTTGGTAAAAAAAATACAAATAAATACAGTCAAAACAAGTCACGAACCTAATTGTAACCCAGCAGCCTAATTTCCTTCTACCACCTTTTAGAAGGACTTCCTACGTCAACCAATTTCTTCCTTCACTAAAATATGATTAACTGCTCCATGATGGAACCTTTTCCCCTTCATACACCCTTTGATTGACACCCCGCCAGAGCCCACTGGTGTAACTTGTTCACTTACATTAACTGTTCAATGGAGAAGCTGAAGAGATCGGTATGGTATACAATGTGAAGCATACAGACAAGAATAACATGTAAGCTAACTGCATTCTGCTCAGACAAAAAGTTTTTGCTTTTTTTTTTCTTTTAAAAACCCCTCCATTCAATGAAAATGGGGAAGGGCGGGAAAGAAGATGGTTATGCGACTACAGACTATTCCAGTGTCCAAGAGAGGCAGAAGACAAGGAAAGGAGTACAGAGGAAGGAAAAGCAAGACAGGAAGGACTTTTTTGTCTTTTTTTTTTTTTTTCAATTTTAGCATCAACAATAAAAAGAGGAACTAAGTCACACCGATTTCCTTTAGTACTATATATACTGCTTTGAAGAGCTTGAAGAAGGAGAGAATATAGAAGCGGGTTGAAAGGGGGGTTTTCTGAAACGGGCACTGAGGATTACAAGATGGAGTCTGTGAACAAAGGCACTTTTTTAGGGACAACCTTGAAGATGCTCTGAGTCTAACACTACATCACAAAACAAATATTTAGAGTTTAGAGTAATTTACATTGGGACCGGGAGGGGGTGTTGGTTTAGGAGAGGGGGTGGGGTTCACTTTGTAACATTTTCAGCTCTATTTATTAAAATAATTTTCAGATTGGCTTACACAAGTATTTATAATAGGATGGGAGTCTAATAATAAACAACAGCTACCGATGAAAAGGTCTCATTTCTGCTGTACTGACAATTTTCAAGGGTGATCAAGTTGATTGGAAGCATCTCCCAAGAAAAGGGAAGATCTTGTCATTCAGTTTGGATCTGTTTTAATTCTCTATGTACAAAAGCCAACAATGCACTAGCTTCTTGTAGGATAACGTCTTCAACAGAATTGACTATGTATTGTCATGGTTAGTAATGTGTGTAATTATGGCTGCCAAATACATAGTGCAATTTCTTCTGTCTCAACTTTACATTGTAAACAATAATTCCTTTTTTAGATTTTCCTTCTCAGGACTTTGCGTGTAATTGTCAACGCTTTGGATTTTATCCACGCTCTTTGACTAAACCCTCCGTTGGGAGAAAAATGCCTTTTTGACTAAAATGAACCCCTCCCCCTTTACTAAATTCTAAACAAGAAATAGAGTATGCATGTTTTTCCTAAAATTTTTGCGTTATGATAACACTTACTTGTTTTTTTTTCTTTATGTATAATAGAGTTTGAATGTACTGTATTCCATAAAAAGCACCAGTTTCATTTAGTGATATATATATTTTTTTGATGTGTTGCAAAACTGTTTCTTCAGCCCTCCCAAGTTTTGAGAACAAATCATTACAAATAAACATTAAAAAAAGGAAAAAAAGGCTATTAAAAAAAAGAAAGAAAGATTAAAAAACTCCCAAAACTTACAAAGACTTTTTTTTTTCTCTCCGCCCTGTAGTTTAGAGTCCCGGACCTTTTGGACTTGAAACAATAACAGAAGGGTATTTTTTCCCCCTCTTCTATCACACCCTCTAACAATCTAACAGACGAACACATTTCTCTACCCAAGGCATTGCACATGGCTCAATCAACATACATTATTTTTCAATTACAAATACTTCCCATCCAAACACAAAAGAACTCAAAAGCCACATCTTTCTCCTCAACACTACTGATACTGTTTACTATAGAAATACATTTTCTATTTATTTTTTGTTTTTTTAATTTTCCAGGGACTTTGCTTGTTGGGCTTTTCCTATGCTGAGTGTATAACTGGGTTTTGAGACTGGTACTACTGAAAAATAACTCATTTATTAATCGTAATGCTGCCATACTTCAGAAAATAACTAGACTGCCACTGAGCTTATTACGCAAACAAAAAAATGTTTATATAAATATATATGGATATCTCCTGTATATATAAAGATGTCTGTAATTAGTGAGCTGTCACTTGCCACTTGTTTTGCTCCAGACATAAAAATTTCTTCCTCTATAGCTTATATGTGAGAAAATAACCTGAATTCATGTTTAACAAATTGCATAATGGGAATACAGAGGCACTTCCATTGATTAGAAAAGAAAAGTCCATCGCCATCATTAATTCTCATTTAGCAATGCTAGTCCTCTACTACGCTGATGACATGGCCGCCTTTCGGCAACCACGCTTCCCTGCAGTGAGACACAGAATCAGGCAGTCCAGTTATTTTGTGAGCTCAGTGATTCGAGTAATGCGGCTAAAAATTAAATTGATGTTTAAAACAAGCTGATTTATGACAATTTCAGCATGACTATGTAAAGGCAGATTAGGATTGCCCTAAGTTAAACCAAGGCTTCCCTTTAAATCAGTCAGTGGAAGGTGTTGTGTGCAGTTGTGTGTGTGTGTCTGTGTGTGTATGTGTGTGAGAGAGAGTCTGAGGCCATGCTCTGAGCGTTCTGCCTTTAATAAATGTTGTGAATCACTAAACAGGATGTGAACATAGCAGATGATGCAATGTCTGATCTAAATGGCCATTACATACCCCTCTCCTTCTACGCACAACTACAACACTCTTTTGCTCCACAGCGTGGCCTCACGTTCTTGGAACACAGCCGTCTGGGAGAGTAAACAGTACAGAGAGGATGGGGCGTCTCTACAAGCCATTAAAGTGGATGTCCACTGAGACTTTCCAGTGGTTTTGATGAAAAACTCATCATTCTTGAGAAACATGTAATTGTACATAATTACCAAATCATAAATTGTTCATAATGGCAGTGATAGGAACCAGGTGTTCGACACATTTAAAGCATCTGGCACTCCACCCACTGACAAAGTGTCTCTGTTTTGTACACTTCTCTGGTCAGAAATTTCAGAATCTTGAATGTTGCAATCAACTTTACTTTTCTGTATACACACTAATGTACACCAGTTTCTTTTGAATAGCA